CCCTCTAGTGACTGGCGACGAACAAAGTTTTTCGACGCCCCACAGTCTACTAGGGCACGAAGCGACAAATCATTTGTCGCTTCCAGCTTCAAGGTGATGAGCGAAAAGTCATCACCAGGTGCAGAGACACACAATGATTTTGTATCTGGAGGAACTATCGTCAAGAGATTTGCAAATTCTATTGAGGTTGCTGGATCAGTAGGGCGCTCCGCCCCTACTGACCCCGACAATTTTTTGATGGTCCGTCTCTCTGTTGCGGCTTCGCAACAGCGCTGGACCCACGCCCATTGCCCTTTTTGGCGAATGGACGTCCATTTCGCTCAGTACTGTTTGGTACTGGGCGTGGAGCACTACACTCGTATGCGTAGTGCCCTAACTTCTGATAGCGATTGCACCTCTGCAATCGCTTGTTGTTCGAAGAGCGAGGTCTCTCGTTCTCTACATAGCAGAGGTCCATTGGTTCTGGACCTCCGATCTCTTGTCGTCTCGGTGGACGGTAAGAGTTTGAGCTAGCATGAGCCTGTCTCATGCTAAAGTCTTCCTGTTCCGCGGCTGATATCGCTTCTCCAAGCGCATTCAGCTCAAGGCGGAACAGGTGGCTCCTGACGGGCCCTTCCGCGAGCCCTTGCATGAACACCGTATTTAACGTGTGTTCATGAACTGGGTTGGCAGTTATACTACTCGCTAGGAGTCGTATACGTTGTGCGTAAGCGTGCACATGACGCTTACCCTGCTTGAGTATCAGGAGCTCAGAATGAGCCCTGAACTCAGCTCGTGGCGGCTCAAACGTTTGTCTGAGCCGGGACTTGAAGTCATATAGCGACCTAAACACATGTGGGTCTCTACTCTCGAGTCCTAGGGACCAAGTTTTGGCACGTCCTGCCAAGTGGGTTTGAGCAAATGTGAGTTTCATTTCCTCATCGTCGACACGACGTGCCTTCAAGGCTCTGTCGAGATCAATGAACCACAATAACAGGGAGTCCTCCGGGACTCCACTGTACTTGGAGATGTCAACCTTCATGACCTCGGGACGACACATTCGCGTCGTCCCGCCCACAGCAGCATGTAATTGCTGCTGTCTCAACAGCTCCGTCTGTTGAGCACCGAGTTCTCTCAACTGCTCGGCCTGTTGAGAGCCTTGCTGGTGAAGCAAGGCTACTTTCTTCCTTTCGGCGACAGGTTCATTTTGGATGAACTTGGCTATAGCGGCATGTTGTTGGTCTTTGTTAGAGACTACAACATGGCGCTAATGGCGAACTCGCCTGCGGTAGAACTCATTCGTTCTACCGCACCCCATTCGATGTCACTCAAATAAGTAAACCCTTCACGCGTGGCGTGAAAGGTCTCTTCATCATCCAACATGTTCATGTTGGATGTTGTGGTCCTTGGAAGGACTACTAAGTGCTACCAGGTGTAACGGGGCAGACCCTTGCGTGAACTTTACGCAAGGGTATCGGTGCCCCGACAGACGTACACAAGGCAAGCGAGGAAGCGTAGAAAAGGTAAAAGCAGAACTGTTATATTAATATAATTAAGTCTTTTAACTACTGTCTCTCTGTTTGACTTAACTTAATTATGCTAATATAACTGAGTGTATGGTGACGTCTCGTCACCACTCATTGCGCGCGTCTTGCGGCGATTGGTGGGTTGATATCATCAAGATATCAACCAATCAACAGACTCTTTGGTCGACCCTTCAATATCACCGCTTCGGTGATATTGTTTAAAGAATATTCAACTTCATATTCTTTACTGTCACTATTCTTAAAGTGACAATTCCATGTAACGGGCTGCCCCGTTACACTGAGTGCTGCACCATACAGTCCGCCTCTTGCAGCTTTACTGCCATTCGCGACACGGAACTGGCATCCACAGAATCCTACAGTCGTTTCTATCGTATAACACATAGTATTCATCAGGCGAAGACATCAGGATATAGCGTTTTTGACTTACAATCTAGCAAGCGCACCAATACATTTTGCTAGCTAGCAACACCATTGTTGTGTCTGATGCCGGCTCATACACAGTGCGCGTTAGGCACAGATTTTGGTGTGCTACAGCATAAATGCTAACTGATGCTCATCCGCAGGTATATCTGTCGAGATAGAGCCTGTGTGGTTTACGAACCTGCACGACTCTATCTGCGCGTTTCTGTTCCCTCGCGTGCGTACTTTTCGGTTGATGGACCCTTTGGTATCTGCAATGATCTCGTTCGGGTAACAGCAACTCGATGTTGTCAACGAAATCAGGCCGAAAGTAATGGATGAGCAGATAGGTGTTTCGGCAAGACACGGGCGAAACGTAAGGATTCATACAACTTCCGTCTACATATCTTCTTCTCTCACACCCGCACTTTTGCGTTGCGGGTGTATTGCCGACGTCTGTGCTTATTTAACGCCTCTGTTCATTAAAAGAGGAATAATTGCCTACTGTGAGACACTTGCTAAGTGACATTTGTCTATTGAGAGCACAATCTCTTCCCAATCTGCACCTTCGGGCAACAGGGCCAAGCGACGACGACCTCCAACGAGCCGGTATACCGGTCCTCTTGTCCTGGGCGAGAAGTCCCTCACTGGGGGGCTCAGGTCATGAGGAGGAGGTTTTCTTCCCGCTGCGTGCGCCACGAGGGAGGCAGCGTAGCGTGCAAACCGAAAGGAGAGCAACAACCCAGGAGACCCCGGGGTGTGGGGCACGGCGACAGCGGTTGTCACCCCCACCTAGTTCCTGCCATTCTACGTCAGCTTCCAATTCGCTGGTCCGGTCGCCGAGCGCGAATCCCGGTCCCACGAAGCGAACTTGCCTAGAACGTGATTCTGATTGGAACCGTCCAGGTGCACCAGCGGCCTATCCGGTGTGATGGGTTCGGTACCCGGCGTTTTCTGCGATTTTCGCGCCCTGTCTGGCCCCCAGGACTGGATACCCGTTTTCACGTTCCCTCTGTTGAGTGTCCCCCGTGATGCCCGCAGTATCGAGCCAAGCAGACTGAGCCAGCGAGGAGGGGTATGATGTAGTCCAGGTAGAAGCACACCGATATCGTATAGTCATGAGCACTTAATCGACGTTCAGGTTGACTCACTGCATTGAGAGCACAATGACGATAGTAAATTGCATTGAGCAAAACCATTTTTCTCTCCGTATATGCTGTGTATATGTGCAGCCCTCTCCCATTCCATCTTCAGCTACGCGATCTTTCTTATACAAACCTCTGCCCGCTTTCTGACCCAAACCTGTCGACTGTCTTTCTGGCTATACTTGCGATCATCAAATTATTGTGACCGTGTCGCGGAAGTAGAAAAAAACAGTCAGCCATTCGACCGTGATTGTTCAAACCATGATGTTTATTCGCACCTCTTAATTAGCAGCCACCTGCTGAAACGGGCATAATCGTCGCTATTGAAGACGCCAGTCCGCTGGTTCCCTTCCTTGCTTAAGCAAACCCGCGCAAGGGAGCCAGGGAAAGAGGTCAGCGTGGGTAACAATTTGCGATATATCTTGCGGTGTGGGGTGCGCAGACTAATGTTAGCTCAATCTTCACCACGATAGGTACTGCCGTTCGCGACGCAACTTCCTGAGTTGCGCCCTCGGGCACCGACGGCCAAGCGACGATGATCTCTAAAGAGCCGGACAACTGGTCCCCTTTCTCTGTGCGGAAAGTTCCTTTTGTGGGGCTTAGAAAAGAGAGGGGAGGCCTTCCCGCCGCTGCGTGCGCTAGGGGAGGTAGCGCAGCGTGCAAACCGAAAGGGACGCAGCAATTACGACATGGGGTGAGAGGGACGCTGTCGGCGGTCGTCCCTCACTCAGTTCCTGCTATATCACTTCAGCCTCCAGTTTGCCGGCCCGGGGAGCCGCGCATGGTTTTTGGTCCCACGAGCGAACTTGCAGAGCGTGATTTGATCTGGCCCCGACGTGGTGCGTCAGCAGACATTGAGGGTCATTGGAGTGGTACCAGGCGTTTTCCGCGACTTGAGCGCCCTGTCTGCACCTGGATTGGATACCCGATTCCACGTGCCTTCAGCGGAATGTCCCCCGTGACGCCCGAAGGATTACGCCAGCAGACTGAGCCATCGAGGAGGAGGAGGCCTCCAGGTAGATGCGCACCGAAATCGTACAGGGCTAAGCACCTAATCGACGTTCATGTCTTACTACGATTACTGCCTTTCGCGATCAACCCCCCATCGCTGACCCGTTTGCTGCAGGCTCACCGTTGTCAATAAACGGCCAGGATAAGATCCGTACCTTCTCGTCTGTGGACAGTAACCCAAGGCTAGCATCAGTTCATGCAGTGGTCCGTCTAGGCACATCCGCAAACGATTGGAACCTGAGGGTCGGCCCGAAATGCACAGCAAATTGACTTCATGACGATAAATATTGCCATCGGGATGTCCGCTGTGGAGTAAATATCCGAATGATGCGCCGTCCGTGCTGTATACGATAAAAACCCAAAGCACGCGAGCAGCCTTGACATACAGTGCTCGCTACAGCATGTGCACGGGTAATTGATCAACCTGACATGTGAATGGCAGGGGCAGCAAACATTAATTTTGAAATCGGAAGCTCGTCTTTGTTAGAAAGTGAACATTAGTAAATGAAATGGCCTGTATTAAAACGCGCGCCAGACGCGTTTCGGTCCCCCGCCAGGGGCCTCGTCAGTGGCTTGTCAAAATACAAGTGAGAGCTACCCTTTTATATCTTTGTGCTGCCTAATACAACACATAGAACCCTGTAATACGTTCCGTATATGCCCTAGTGTAAATTGAATCTCTGGAATAGACCCAAGTGCAACTTGCACTTCTAACAGTCTTAACAAAGCCAGACCAGCTCATCCTCTTACGGCCCTTCTAATGGATCCTTTTTCAAGGCCAGAGGAAGAGCGGACCAGATCTCTTCTACAAAAAAAATCAGCAAGAACGTTTCTGATGTGTCGGCAAACATCAGCGGCCGAAAAATTTGCCATTTGTGCCTCTTATTGTGTGACTTGCCCCCAGCTAGTCACACCCATCATGCTCTTGCTCCTGCATGTGCTCACGGCATTAGTGGTCTATGTTGCAGGAACCGCTGATTCAGCAATCACTGGAGGGGATCTAGCTGACGTTACTACTCGCCTTACGTCCTCTGCATTTCCTCGCACGCCAGCGACTCATCTCTCCGCGCAAAGGCTTAAAAAACCACACGAGAATGCTGTACTCAAGATCAAACACGGAGACCAATTCAATGAGGGGAGGTTCATATTTCCGCTAGGTGAGGAGATAGCACTCCGTGTTGGGGTTAGTCGCCTCATTGGTGATTTCGAGACTACGAGGATCGTCCGCAACATCGTGGACGGCATGCAAGAGGAGAAGATTGTCAAGGGCTTCAGACTTTTTCGAATGAAAAGGTTCGTGACGCTGCTGAGTGACTCATTTAAATCTGCTAACTGCGAGTGGAATTATGGTAAGGTGGTCAGGGCTTTGACACCGGTGTTCTTTGAAGCTAAAGATAGTTTATATTATCATGTCGCACCTGAAGACTTAGTTGACGCCTTCTTATTGCTTCGAGAAGAGCCTGGCATGAAAGCACACGCGGACCTCTTGCTGAGAAGTCTGCTTGACGAGGTCAACTCCCACGCTGAGAAAAGATTGTTCCAGCGGTGTCTAGCGTTGAATTTGACCCCTGAAGCTGTGTTTGAGATGTTGCCGCTTGGCCGTCTTATCAAGCTATCGGATGTTTTGGAGGAACTCGGACCAGAACATTTCAAGGACTATACGGAATGGTTGCTCGTTCCGATGGTTCAGTACATCGACTTTTATCGAGCGCATCACGAGTACAGCCTAGAGAACGAAAAGAACTTACTTCGGTTTTATTGGAGTCAAATAACTGGGTGAGCTCGGCTGACTACATGGTAAAGGCGCGGAATAGGTAAAGTCAACTCATGGGACCAATGAATGACTGGCGCGTGGCTTGATTCGAACATTGCTGGAGCCGAAGCTTGGCTCGCATGGTGTAGAGCTGAGCACTTCTTACCCCGACACGTCTACAACAAGCGTGAGCGAAATTGGTGCAGCTAGTGATACACCCTTTTCTTTGGGAGCTTCATAGGTGTAACGTAACATACATTTTGACAAACCACACCTTTTGTTAAGATACAAATGTCGAAGGCTGTCTTTTCATTCTCGGCAACGAAACCCTTTGATCGTCACCGTTTCACTAAAAAGGCCGCAATGCGTGCATTGTATGAATGATTCGAATTGTGTTGTAAGCCCGAGGAATGTACGCTGACTCAGAAATTGCCAATAAGGCAAAGCACTTTATTTGTAAAATTCACGCTCAGCTGTTTCCTGCATTCCCTCTTACCATTCGTACGCTCTCATTGCTACATGGGTACACCGTGTTAAAGTCAAAAGTTCACTAGAAACCCTCTTTATTTTACTTAACATATATTAAACTATAAACGCTCAACAAAATCTCACTTACCACCCATTGCGCGCGTCTAGCAGAGATTAGTGATTTGTTCGGTTGCTATCGTGGCCTATATCTACCAATTGTGAAGCAGCCAGATATTACCTCGCAGGTAATATTTTAACAATATTGACTCAAAAGAGTGACACAGTTAAATATTGTATTAAATAAGATTGTCTTTATACCGGCACAACTCAAACCAACGTCATGTAACAAGATCACCCTATTACGTCCCCAATGTACATCAGTCATTTTAGTGACTTGTTGACGGATAATTCGGTAACAGATGGATCAGAGTTAAATCACTCTGGAAAGAATCTACCGCTTAATTAAACGAACTTATTTCGACTTCCACGCGCCTAGCTTAAAAGTATAAGCGGTGTGCGGCAACGTATTTTGCTAACGTGGCTTCACTAATGCGTGCAACTGACCAAAAGGCAGGTAAAAACGCTTCAGAAGCAGATGTTCGAATTTCTACTGCTGAACACGGGAAACGAGAAACGTGCAACGTCAATCGTTTTGGGCGCGAGTTGTAACAAACTACTTTCAATTTATACATTCGATGAGGATGTTGCGGCTACGTGTACCTTCCATTAAACACGACCCGAAAATAGATTATTTTGAGACGGGTGAGTCAAATACTTCATCCGACTTTAAACATCCTTTATAGTTCGATGATAAGTCGCAGTCTGCAAAGATGACGACGACGAAAATGTTACCGTTCCATCAGGTCGTGATGGATTAGCGTCGCAGGATGCTCGGTTTCTCATGCGATCCTAACGACTCGTGGCTGAAATAGATTCGATCAACCGTGTCTGAGTGCAAGTCAAGTGTGCCACAAGATGGTTCTGACCATCTTGATACAACCTGTGACTCTTTGTCGAGACATCGAAACGAGCTGATCGACGTGACGATATTATTCGTAGAGTCGGTGATCCAGATGACATTACACAAGAAGCGATACCGCACCATTCTTTTTCTTCTTTCATCGACAAGTCATGCTTGTCTCATAAGAGAATGTTAGATCTGAGGTGTACAATGAACCCTACGGTTCACATAATTCTTATTTTAAGCTCGTCTAAGCTGCATCACCTTGAAGTCAGTGCAAAAACATTGCATCTAATGTAAGTATTAAATCAATTTCTTTTTCATAAATTGACGGAACCACGCTTATTATTGTCGAGATGATAGACTCTTGACACAGGCGTAAACTTTGTCATTGAAATTGACCAATCTATTGGCCACGAAACCTGTCTTGGCATACTTTCGGCCATTTGAAAGGAGGTGACATAATAACGCTTAAACTGATGCATGGTAAATAAACTGCACCGATTTTATGAGTAAAAAGCCTACCTGGCTCTCGTGAGTTGACAACTGATTAGATTACATTGTCAACTCTGCTTGCGCCTCGAGGGAAGCCGACATCCCTAATTAGCTTTACTGAAGGAAGCGCATATCTTCCAATATATACGAATGGATCGAGACGTTGCAATTCATTTACAAACGGTCCAGGCGTTCGTATCGATGACCCCCACCCCAAATAAACTGAGTGTGAATCCCGTCATACATATCGTCGAGACCCAGAACATCAACCGTCAGCTAGTATTGAGACCCCCAGGGATCTAAGTAGGCGACCATCCGCACCTTTGACCGACGTTATTCGTACGAAATTTAAACACGTCGCGGTTGTTTACGATATGCTCCACTATAGTGATGCGATGATCACCTTTCGAGCAAAACAAACAAGACGATGGAGGTGGATATGTCTGAGCAAGGGCATTCACCGGAACATGTCCATGTCCACAAAGGGGTCGCGCAATCTTCGAGCTGCGGGAGGTTGTAGATCATGGGCGGGACAGGTGTCGCTGCTTGACGGGCACAGCGTTTGCACCGCGACGATCGCTCGAACGATCGTGATGATTTGCTCTCGCACAGTTGCAGAAAGAACGCAAAATTTCGTTTCTTTGTACTAGCTGGCAGTAGCTCGTAAGCCAATTTATCAGTTGCTTGGGGTTCACTTCGGTGCGCGACCAGGCTGAATGACTGGAGCGCGAGCGAAAGAATCCAATGAATATTGTGAAACGTGAATGGTATTTGTATATTCGTAAGAATTGTCCTTCTGAACGTAATAGTGGAGGCGCCCAGAATTAATATATCATACTTTTGGATCCTACGTGACAGCTCCATCTTGTATGAGCTGTCTAGACGGCATAATCCACAAAAGTAAGCGATGTATCGGGGCAGTAAGTTGCTACTGCCCACGTTAGCCACTAAATGTTTGGACAAAGTTTACCCTAGGCAGTAGAAACAGGTTATCAACGCTATTAAAGAACGTTTATCCTTTATTTTGATCATCTTTCCGTTTCTGTTAGTTCACTGAGACGTCATGTAATTGGCAGAAAATGATATACAACTCCTCTTGATCCAACATAACCACCATTACTGACTCGGCTTTATTTGGTTCAGCGTGCCTTGTTCATACTACGGAGAGTGTTTGTTAAAGGTAGCGGAGCGTTAAAGTCAAGAATACGTTTGATTGAAGCAGCAAAACAAAACGTGGATCATGAATTAAGTGTAAACTCGTTCCTACCATTTCTACTCATCTTTTGTGATCAATTCTTCATTCCAACCGCCCCACCAAACCTGATAATCCTTAACCATGTTCCTTTTCCATGCAACGGTTTCTCTGATGTGGCAGAAACGGTTCCGTTGACATAAAAGCAGGGAACGTCAACACTCAACACACAGATACACGCACGCATACATACTTCCTTCCCATGCACGGGCCATATCACCTTTAAAGAACAGTATTATATCTTCTTCTTCTTCGGCAAAATTATATTCTCCCTCTCAAGAATAGTCATCTTTGATGTAAAATGTACCAGCATCGTCATCATATTATGAGTCAGCAATAGTGTCGCCGTAATTTTCGGTACGTGTCTTATTCCACGATATCGATCGCGTTGACAAAGGCATCTTTTGTATCGGCAATTATCTTAACGCGTGATGAGCTAGAGTCAGCATTGTTGCTCAAGCGAGTCTTCACCACCACCCCTTGGCTAATTTTCACGGTCTAGAAGGGCGAGAATGCGCGGATGTATAGTTCATGGACGAAAACTAGTGGATGCGCCTTTAAAGCAACGACCTAGAATAGGATGGTGAGCCCGACCATCAGTGATATCTCACTCAATCTAGTGCACTAGTCGAAAAAATTTCGAAGTAATTTTTTTAGGAAACAATTGTTACGTTCTTTCCGTTATCCTCTCACGGATGATCATAATGCGACATCTCTAATCGTGTTCCAAAGATCGAATTAGTTATTACCGAAAATATACCGTGAAACAAGAGAACCGGTCAAAGGCTAGATCACGTGACAGCCCATGAAGCCGAGTCGTCTCGATTTATACCCGACCGCAGCCTTCTACCAGATAGACTCGGTATTGCAGCAATATCCAACATTTTGCACAGTCGATTAAGAAGACAAAAAATCATTTAATTTCCGTCCAAGTTTTTTTAACGGCCTCACATCCATCGTTTGAGCCGATAGAGGCTGTGATGGGTCATGGGAAGAACGGCTAGACTTCGATCGATGAGAAACCTTTTGATCTCGAATGTACTTGCGCAAAAGCTGGTACTGGGAAGACAGTAAAGTTCGCGGCTTACCGCCAGTTTATTCTTTTCTCTACTACGAATTTCCACGCGCTGGTATCGAGACACTCATAAATGATCCGCAATAGCAGATCATTATGAGCGGAGACGACGACACGAATCGTGTCAATGGCAACAACTGTATAATACAAAATCATGTTGTGAACGGTGTACCGTTTTGACGAGGAACGGTATAATGCCAGTAAATATGTAAGTGTTTTCAGAAACATTTTACGAGATGATCCATCGGACGCAAGGATGTCCGTTATCATGTGCGTGGGTCTTGTAAACGGTGTCAAGTAGTGTTGACGAAGAAAAGTTCATGGTAATAGCTGTAGCATTGGAAAATCCTCATTTTCGGACGTTTCAGCCGACTCTAAAGGGATGGATTGACATCAAATAAACGATGACTTTCAGCTGTCTTATCTTACACTCCACGGATAAATTTCAATCCGCGAATATACAAAGCGTCCTCTCTTTCTTCTGTAATAATTGTGGACTGTTTACGGAGATACTAAGCGACATATGGTCCGTAAATAAAACAAATAGTCTATCTTTGAGGTGATTGCCGCGGAGCTTATTCGGTGCATACTTTATGACAAAAAGGTCGTTTTAATGCACTGAACAGTTGCTCTTAGAATGTTGCAACTAACGCGGTGAATAACAGACGAGGCGCTACGCGACATCTAAATTTTACTGCACCAACGCAAAACCAATCAAATATTGCTGACGTCACAGACTACTCGAGATGGCCTATCTTGATCGTCAATCGCCAACA